TTCTTTCTTTCCTTCTTTCCCTCTTTCTTTCTATCTTTCTTTCTTTATTTATTTCTTTCTTCCTTTCTTTCTTTCTTTCTTCCTTTCTTCCTTTCTTTCTTTCTTTCTTTCCTTTTTTCGTTCATTCATTCTTTTTCTTTTTCTTTAATCAAACATGTTATCAATATTATTGAAAACCGTAGGAAAATGAGTTGAACTACCTCAAGAATATTCTGCTCAGCACTTAAAATAAGTGTGTGAACGTTATAAGCCTGAAGCGAGATGACGTTTTGCCCCCGTCTCTAGACTATAATCCTTTTCACACTGCTTTTGTTCTTTAATTATGACTATTGTTCCTGTATTCTCTAAGGAATCAAAAATTAATATGAAAGAATTTTAAAAACTATTAATTCATGCCGCGGTTATAATTATTAGAATAGATCGGATATTATAAGGTATTGATGTGATGGGGGTGATTAGAATTCAAAAACCATGCACATCAGTACAGTTTACACTTGAGGTAGAAGTGAAGAAAAAAGTTGCTACACTAAGAAATAAATAGTTTAATCAAACTTGGACTTCTAGAAGACTCTCGTTATAATTTCTTCAATAATTTAATCTTGACTATCGTCTCCAATGTTGTTCCGTCAATGGTTCTCTTTCGGACTGTCTTGCTCTTAGTTGCGGCGTTCCTCAGGTACAATCTTAGGTCCCCTTCTTTTTCTTATATATATTGACGATCTTCCTAATTGTTTTCCCAACCACATATGTATGCGGATGACACAAGCCTAACCTTTGCCAGCGACAATGTTGATATTTTAGACACTTACTCAAATCTTGACTTAGTTAATGTTAGTGAATGGCTTACTACAAATAACCTTACGTTTAATGCATCTAAAACCGAATTCATGCTAATAGGCTCTAGGTAAAGGTTGGGTTTGCTTCCCAATTCGCCTGCACTCGTGATCAATGGCGCACCTGTCAAACAGGTATCTTCTACTAAGGCCTTTGGTGTGGTCATTGATCAAAATCTTTCTTGGAAGGAACAAATTGGCGAGCTTTCCAAAAAAATTGCTTCCGGTATTGGGGTTTTAAAACGTGCCCGAGATTTTGTTCCCTTTGAAATATTAATAACTATTTACAAGTCTCTAATTCAACCCCATTTCGATGATTGTAATGAGGTTTGGGGAAACTGTGGCAAAACCTTGGCCACCAAGCTCCAAAAGCTTCAGAATCGTGCTGCTCGTATCATCACACACTCGAGTTATGATTCTGATGCTGATAGCATTTTGGAAACCAAAACTTGATACTCAACGGCAAATGCGTTTAGCTACAATGGTCTACAAATCGGTACATAGCTTAGCTCCTGGTTATCTTCATGCTAAGTTTGTAAATCGTTCTAGCATTCATAATTATTCTTTGAGAGACAGCGATGGAAAACTTGCCCTCCCCTTGCCACGAACAAATTTTTTGCAAAAACGTTTTAGTTACTCAGGGGCCTCCTTATGGAACGACCTACCAATTGAATTTAGAACGGCCAAGTCCCTAAGAGCATTCAAGTCCGGCGGTAAAAACCATTTCTCCATAAATATGGACTAAACTTCACACGACACTCATGTAAAGCAGTTATTTGAATTTATTTTACTTATTTGTTATACTCAATTGTATTGCATTCTCAAATTTTTGTATTTTTACTGATTGAGCCGTCCGTGTATGAATAAAGATATCTATCTATCTATTTTATCTTCCGGACGGACGAATCTATCCACAGTACGTGGTTAGTTCAATATTTTTAAATACTCAGTAAACTGAAACGTTGGCATAGTGACTGGCTTCTAAAATTGCATAACTTATTAATGAAGAAATAACATCAATAGAAGATCCAGCAATCGATCAGTCCTAAATGATTTAATTAAGACTGAATGTTCAGACGTTTTAGAGAAAATTCTAATCAAAAAGTACTTTTGTTTACAGTCGCTTGCCAGCAACCAGCCGAGAACTCGGTGCAGGTTCTAAATATCAACCATTCTTGCCTTGATCAAAGTTCTCATTTCTACTAATTTTCATTTGACAAACTCAATGCGCTTTTACTACGTTATCAATTCTTTATCATTCATATCGCTGGGTCTTTCTTTATTCCTAGTTTTATTTTTCTTTGTTCCATTCTTATATTCTCGACATCATGCAAAACAGGAAAAAAATTGTTAGTCATAAACAACTTCTTAGATCCCATCAATATGCTAATTAGTACGAAAGTCGTGCAGTTAAACAGGGAAAAAAACCATTCTTGATATTTTTTAAGAGAGAACATCCCAATCGATGGGCAGCAAGACATAAATATTTTTTTAATTTATCGAGACTATTCTATCATTTCGGTAGATGAGCTAGCTAGAAATGGTAGAGAGAGACCATTAGGGATAGCTGAGGATAAAAATAAAACTGAAAATGAGTATCGTACTTGTTTTTTTAATGATTCAAGTGTGTAAGAGACTTTCTAAATCACCAAGAAACCAAATTTAGTTGGGTTTTTTTTCCCCCGCTTTTTTTTATTTTTATTTTTTTTTAAATTTTGGTTCCTTTTGTTTTTATCGCCACAATTATAAATTATTAATATTAACTATTCCTAGCAGCGTAAACATTGCCGAAGCAAATGTCACTCTAAAAAGCAATATGAAAAGCTTAGAGATGCCACAGCTGTCGATGAAACAAAGGATAATTTATAAAGGTCCTTAAGATGACACGAGTTAAAGCCATGGGACTATATGACGTCACGTTAAGAGTGTCGAAAGATAATTGGTCAAACAAATTAAACTTGGCCTGTGATGTTCGTGCTAATGCGCTCAGTTTAACCTACTTACGTCAGGATAAATTTCATTTTCTTGAGCTAAAATAGTGCCTGGCCTGTTTGTGTGTTTTAATCGCACGAATTCTACAGTGTCAAAGAGAAGAATAGAAATGTCGCTGTTAATTTTGGCTCTCGTAACCTTGCTACGAAGTAAGTAATGTTTAAATACTTATGGGTATTTGTATAAGGTTGGTTTCTTTTCTATTAGGAATCCTCTAGTTAATTCATCTGCTAATTTAAAAGCTTAGTTCAGCTCTAGTGTGGCCTTTGATTCTTGGAGAATATTTGGTCTGGCTATGGTTTCTGTTGTGTCAATCGTTCCCTGACGTGCAGTAGTTTAAAGTAACAACTCACATCGGGTCCACAAAGTAAACTAAATTGGAATAGCTGTAGCCTTAGAGACAGAAAAATCTTGATCGTCCTTTTGAATTTCGACATCGTTTTATTGTTTTCTTGACAAACGGCTTCAACTCATGGCTTCAGTAACACGATGAAAGATATATAATATTCTAAAAATGTTGGTGTCTACTGTACTGAGGCGATCGCGATGACAAGTTACGTTCTGAAGGCAGCGCAGTCGCTATGACTGAAAAATGAATTATTAAGATAACTATTATGACTTGTTACTCATTAACTAATAATGGCTATATGAAAAATACTAGTATGGACTGACATAAAGAAAGAAGTGAGAAATGAATGGACTTCTTCGTCTTCTTCTTTTCTTCCTCTTCTTCCTCTTCTTCGTTCTTTTTCTTTTTCTTATCTTTCTTCTTTTTCTACGAAACTACCCGTCCGTCTTTTACTTTCAAATAGTAACCATTTCTTCTTCTTCTTCTTCTACTTCTTCTTCAATTTTTCTTTTTATTTGTTCCCTCTTTCCTGATCATTTCTTGTTTTTCTCTCACTTCATTTGGGTTTACCGTTTTGCTCTTGTTTAACTCTACCTCAATTCACTCTTTCATTACATCATGTCGATTTTTCCTTTTTCCTTTGTTTTTTTTTTTTTTTTTTTTTTTTTTTTTTTTTTTTTTTTTTTTTTTTTTTTGGTCTATTTATTAACTTTCCTAGAATTTCCAAGAATAAATTACAGTCCCTTGGGCTAGTATTTAAGAATTCACGCTGCCATGTTTGTTAGGAAATAGAGTAGTTGTAACGACATCTTTCATATTATGTGGCAAGGAAACTGTTTTCTCGTCTCCAATGTAAGCGACAAAACGTCTTCTAAACAGGATCCTTTTTTCTTGAATAAGTATTTAATTGTTATGAGAGAGAAAATTGATGCTTTTACGGACTAAGCTAGACATCAGTTTTCTAATTACTATTTCTTATCGTATGAAAACAAGATAAAAAATCAATTAGCTATATAAAAATATCGATATAAGATTTCAGTAAGGCTACCATCACGCACAAGTTTAGATAATGGTATGCTTTGAATTCACAAGTAAACCTCTTACTTAGCTCCTCCCATTAGCATGTATACCTCTGGTTACGCCCTACACACTTTCTACCCCTTTGCTTAGTTATTTTAGCACTATTCTTTTGAATCTTATGATAGAAATATTCCTCGTAGCCTCTTCTATACATTTACGATATATTCATATATTAAATTTAGTTTAAGCTATGTTTAATTCCAAGATTTTCACTCGTATTACTCGTTATTAAGATATCACGCTCAGGAATTTACTATTTCTTTTAGCCAATCATGATTCAGCGATATTATCACATTGATTAGAGACTTACACCTGTCACAGAATTATTATAAACAGAGCTCATGTAATTGGTTCGATACACAGCGAAGACAGAGACAGCAGAGAGTAAAATAAAGATCCCGGAGGTCATACCGAGATCGGTCGCCCCATAACATATTCCCTAATTCTTTTAAATCAATAGCCATAGCTAGTTACAGATAAATGACGTATTTAGTTTATTTGAGCTCAGGATGAGATAAATTTCCCCTAACGAGGTCTTGACACYCGACCCGACATTTTAGATGTTATTATCCTTTGTTCAGTTTACCGCGAACAAGATGACGATAAATTGAAAAAGATCATTTTCCGGTAAAACGTTTTATTTAATTATTTTACATATATATATTTCGTTCTTCGTTGTATTAGCAACGTTAAATATTATTATTATTATTACTATTATTATTATTATTATTATTATTATTATTATNTATTATTATTATTATTATTATTATTATTATTATTATCATCATTATTATTATTATTATTATTATTTGGTGGATTGGAAATCCATAATTTCAAGAGAAAAAGAGACACCTCGGTTTTGCAAAATTTGTCGATTCTTAATAATACCTAACTTGTTTTTCTTTTATCAGCTGGATTTTCTTGCAGACGTGCTTAGTGCCCACGATTTTCCTCAGACGAGCGACATATTTCATTAAAATTGTCTTCAAAGAGCCAATCAGATTCGAGTCATTGATTATTATAACACAGCCAATCAGATTATTATAAGCGGCTGTTTCGATATAGAATGTTCTCGCGAACAATCGACAACTCCCCTCAAAAAAATTGCGTCTAAGCAGGGACACTAGAGTAGAAAAAACGTATTACGCATGCGTTATTTTCAGCACGTTTTCTAAGAATTTAGAAGAGTTTTAGTGAATTTTCTCCAAGTATACAAAAAAATTCAAAATACTGTATTAACAAATACAATATGAAAGAATTAGCCTAAAGTTTCATGCATGGATACTAAGTTTTGGCACTAAGTTCGTGCAGTCCATTTATCAGGCATGTTTTACATATGTTTACAATAATAGCATAAAGACATTTCGACGAATTTGCATACGTTCTGAGAGCATGCGCAGACGTTTTTTAAATAAAAGCTTTTTTGTAGTTTTAGTAGCTCAATTTAGATTGGTCGATATCTAAGAAAAAAGGATTTGAAAGGGTTTGAAAAATCCTTACTTTATTTCGTTCTCGTACGTAAAATGTACAATGTGGGATCGACAATCACAACAGAGCAAGGCTCAGCGCTCCGAACCAGCTGAAAACTCAAAGATTGAAGAAGAAATCAATTTAGAATTATAATTTGCGAATGAAAACTGGAGGACCCCTTGTAGTATAGAAAAGATGGTCAATAGACTACTCTCACACTCAAAAACTCAATGGGGGGGGGGGGTGGGGTAGAAAACTTGGCAAAAAACCTTTGAAAACTCAAAAAACCATTAGACAACTCTACTTACACTGGCTCAGCACTAGATAATTAGTATTATTAAGATAATATTAACTATAAGTCATGTTCTATACTCGTGTAGGTTCACAAGGGACTCCGGTTGACCGCTGCCATGATCAAAGTGCCCGTTACGTATACAAACCTGTTTTTAGTACGCATAAAACATGGGAAAACGCTGTAGCTGATTGTCAAATTCAAGGCGTTTGTTTAGCGCGTCCATCAAGCCCATCGAATCTTAAGACAATACAACTAGCCTTTCTTGAGAATAAGGTTCACGGTAAAAAGATGTATTGGGTTGGGATAAAGTATGATGCACAAATATCGAACTTTAAGTGGGATAATGATCTGCCGGTTACCAATCGACAATCTTTCTCGCAAATCACAAATTTGAGTGAACAGAAATCTCCTAATTTTGATAAACGATGCCTGGCAGCGACACGAGCCACGAAACTAGAAGCACAACGCTGTGGTACGACTATGAAATATATGTGTCAGATCCCATTAAAAGCAGGTATGTGGTATCAAATCAAGCCAAGGGGCTCATTAGCCAATTCGAAATTGAGTTAAAAACTGGGTCGAGTTGGTATATTGCGGCATATTGTGGGACTGTTTTACGGAAAATATTTGCAAGATGGCTTCTATTTCTTCCCCGCAAAGAGTCCCAGGATGCACTGCAATGTCAACTCGACCCAGTTTTTTCCCTAACCTCGGGATGGCTAATACGATTGGTCAGTATAAGACTTTTTGTGTCAATCAATCACGTGATCGATCAGTACTATGTCATGTCCAGAACTTGTTCTGGTTACGTGATTTGGCGTGATTCGGCGTCAAAAGTTAAATTATATTTAACTTTTACATGCTTATACATTTAATGCGAATGATTCGTTCTTGGCAGATAAATTGGTAACCCCCTCCTCCCCCCCTCAAAAAAAAAATCCACATAGCTCCCCCTGTCCCCCTCGATCGACTATAATTTATGAACGATCCATAAATGACAGATCTAGGATTGACTGTCCTAATTGTTGATATTGTGATAAAATAAACCTTTTTAATTTTTTCAACTTCGTATGAAATTCTTTACAGCTAATACTAATGCTCCATTCAGTGTTTCCACCAACATTGGAAATAATGGCAATAACGGCAATAATGGCAACGGCAATAACGGTAACAGTGGCAATAAAGGCAATGGCAAGGGAAACAAACAGGTATAATAGACGTTAACTGAATGTCAACAAAAAACTATGTGTAGCTCATCTTCCACTTCGTTATTTATTCCATAATCATCATAATACTTCGTTTATTCTAAGAGAAAAAGAAAAAAGAAATCGCAACAAATGGTAAATTATTTGATTTTACTCATAGGTTGAATCTTTTGTGAATGGAATGAAGGATTTGAAGCCGCACAATAAAGATTCTCTAAAGGTAAGACATGATCAGATGTAAGGAAGAAAAATAATTGAATCATTTCCCGCCATTTATATAGATTTACGCACGTACGAGGCCTAAGTCAGGGCACAACTAACTCACAGATCAAACTTTGAAACAACCTCTAGGCTGATCTAAGTCAGGGCGTGGCTAACTCACAGATTGAACCCTGAAACAACCTCTGGGCTGATCTAAGTCAGGGTATGGCTAACTCACAGATTGAACCCTGAAACAACCTCTGGGCTGATCTAAGTCAGGGYAYGGCTAACTCACAGATTGAACCCTGAAACAACCTCTGGGCTGATCTAAGTCGGGGCATGGCTAACTCACAGATCGAATTGAAATATAGCGTGTAGATTGGGGTTTTTAAGATCGTTAATATCATCTATAGATCCAATTTAGATACCTCCAGACCCACCTCCTTTCATCTAAATATAGTAAAGCACCTTTAGTCCAAATCATAATAATTACTACATGTACTTATATCGTCACTTCAGAACGCGATGAACTTAACAACAACATTGATGAAAAACATTGAACGAGGCACGAAGAATGGAAATGAGAAATCCAACTTTATGAAAGGAGCTTTACAGCTTGAAAAGTTTAGCATTGAATATGCCAAACAGCATATCAATAAGACCAACAAAGATCCTATCAGAAGAAACAACGAAAGATTTGGTAGGAAAATCAGGAATTATTTATGCTCCATTGATTTCAAATTTAAGTTCTCTGATAAAAATATTTTGTAATTTTTTAATGCGTAGTTCTCGAGATGCGAAAGGTCTTTACAAAGCCCCAGAAAAATCTCAAGTTTCCCGAGGACTTGAATAGAGGTGAAGCAACAATCATCGAGCTCCCAGCCAGTTTGTTTAATGTGATCAAAGGTAACTAGGCTCAAAAGCTTTGAAATGTTTTCGTAGAAGATTTGATTTTGCTAGCCCCTTTTTCCTCAAGTTTATGAAATGTTGCAAAACTAGACATATCAGAGCTATCAATAGTCCCTTTTCTCATTCCGTTAATACCGGGGTTTTAAGACTCATCTGCACAGGCTTAGCCTCGCTTAAGAGTAAATCTTCATTTTGAATGTCAACTTTAATGTAAAGAATGTGCAGCTTAAAACAATACAAGTGTTTTGAAATCCCACGGACTTTTAATGGCTGTGACGTCATAGTGATATAGAATTTTTTTWAAAATCGAAACCCTTTCTTGCAGATAGCGGTATCGTAATGGTCAGCAGTCTCTTCACGGGAGTCAGTGATACGTTACCAACTCTAACGTAAGATATGCTCTGCTCATTGCTAGACAGAACAACTTCAATTCTCACCTAGCCTAACCAGTAATATTTTCCCGTTAATTTTAATTCAAACCACTAGACAATGTTACAAGGGGCATGTTGGTACTACATGTCCCATATGTAGAAAATATTCTTGCCTTTCATCGATATTAACTATGCTTTCATCAATCTATATTTATTGGGTCCTTCATGAAACTCGCATTCAATACATACATCTATTTCCTAATCAGATTAAACGAAGATTCATTATCTCTCATGTCGTTATTATGCCACAAGATAGAAA